CCTCTAGCTATCGTCCCATCAGCCTCCTCAGTTGCCTGGGGAAGCTCTACGAGCGGCTCTTGTTAAACAGGCTCAAAGAGCACGTATTTTCCAACGGCCTTCTGCCGACGGAACAATTCGGCTTTCATGTCTCTCTCATGTCCCGACCAGTTATACCGCCTAACGGAGCACATCCTAAAAGGCCTAAACCACCCCAAACACATCAGCACAGGGGCTCTCTTCTTCGATGTCGCAAAAGCATTCGACAAAGTCTGGCACAACGGCTTGCTTTACAAGCTGTATACACTCAAAGTGCCAGATAGGCTCGTACACACCATCCAGGCCTTTTTGTTGAATCGCTCTTTTCGATATCGAGTCGAGGGCACCCTCTCCACAAGCCGCCGCCTCACGGCCGGCGTACCACAAGGCTCCTGCCTTTCACCTTTGCTCTTTACGCTCTACACGAGCGATATACCCAAAGACCCCCACGTCAATCTCGCGCTTTTCGCGGATGACACCGCGCTCTTTTATTCAGACCGCAACCTTAGAATACTAACCACTCGACTCCAAAGCGCCGCCGACCGCCTCGGCGATTGGTTCCGCAAATGGAGAATAGAAATAAATCCCGAAAAGAGTGTGGCGATTCACTTCACACGAAGTACCTACCCGTCACATCTTTATAATGGCCCTCGCCAATGCAGAAAGTTGGGGCAAATATCCCTTTATGGCCAACCGCTCCCCTGGGAGAAAAAGGTCAAATACTTAGGAGTCACTTTCGACTCGCGTATGTCATTTACTACGCACATTAATAACGTTCGTAACAGAGCCGCGTTCGTCTCCGGCCGGCTACACAATTTAACTAACGCTAAAAGTAAAATGCCCTTAAGGCACAAATTATTATTATATAAGACCTGCGTACGACCTATTATGTCCTACGCATGTATGATCTTCGCCCACACGCACCCTACTCGCTTGTACAAGTTGCAAATAGTACAAAATAAGTTTATCCGCCGCGCAACCGGTGCGCAGTGGTATCAGCGCAACGTCGACCTGCACAGCGATTGCAGACTCCCGACGATTCGCGCACATTTTAAAGATTTGACAAAACGGTTCTTCGATAGAGTCCAGCATCATCCCAACCCTCTGGTGGTAAGCGCAGCAAACTACCAACCGGACACTAACGCGAACGTAAACAAGCGTCGCCCGCGAAACGTCCTCATCGACCCGGTCGACGAAGAGGACTTAGATACGATGGACCCACCGCCGGGGGTCCCGCCGGATAACACTACACCCACAGTTAGTGTAACAAAAATCACACCAGTACGCCCTCGCCTCCGAGCACGGCGAGACCCACACAACGCGTACACAAGGTACACCCGCGTTCCGGGGCGGTTTTCACCGCTCCCAGCCACCGATTAGCTAAATGCACAGTCGACGGCCGTCGGGGTCTCGGTCCGAACCGCGACCTCGGCGGCCCTTAGATGACACACCATAATTAAACGCACGCATGAGCACATGCGCGACCCTACCCATAGCGGAGGGTCCAAACCCGTGGGTTCTGGCTAGCCCACCGGTTTTGCGTCCGATGAAGCTTTAATAGTCTCGGGACTGAAAGCAAAAACATCAGTTAATACAAGATACAAGATACCTGTTAACTTATTTTTAAAACGATATTTATCAAAAATTATTAGCAAGAGATAATGCAATATTCTTATTACATATCAGGTCAATCCAGGAGAAAGAATGAGTTATGGAATTAGAGAGAAATAAGGTACAGGCAGAAAATAAACTTGCAATACTGCACTTATAATGGCAAAAGCATCTCGAGTGTAAACTGAAGCTGCTCATGTACAGGCATGCTATTGGAGCTTGTGCGCAAGTAAAGTGAATACATTCATGTGTTGCTGAGCTGAGTCAATAAAATGTTGTAATGAAACAATAAATGTACTATAAATCAATATGTTCTTTTATTTTTTTCCCGCAGTAAGTAATAACCAATTAACAACAAATACCACATAATTAGTACACTAACACTGTTTGGATTAACCAAAGCAAATACAAATAATTAAAATGAAATATTAACAGCTATAAGATAAATATTTTACATTACTACTCAATATTTATTAGTTCATATAATATAATATTGCATATCACATATAATTTTAGTAACCATATGTTGATTAATTTACATAACCATATAATATTATTTTGTATTATCTTGAAAGTATATTTGCAATTTGTATCATTTATTGATTATTTTATTTTTATTACTATTTAATGTTTATTAACAAATGCTTTTGTAATAAATATTTTTACATGCATTAAAAATCAAAATAAGGTTAATGTAGAGCTTACAAATTATTGTTATAAAGGTTACTTTTTTGAGGCTGTTGATCATTATTCATATTCAATTGGGAATAAAAATGGCATCACTGGGCTAAATACTAGATACAATTTAATAAATTACATAAACCTATTGTAACACCCTATAAGGGAACAAAATGCAAACACTATTTGCGTGTTTGTAAAATTTGTAATAAGATTATTAGACTGTATGTGTTAAATTGATGCTTTTAATAGTACTGAACATTTTGAATTATAAGACAAAAGTAAATGAAACTAATTTTACGGATTTATCGCGTTTATTTTTAATTTTAATTCCCGACGTTTCGAACCCTTTACAGTTCGTTCATGGTCACGGGACAGACCATGAACGCTGTAAAGGGTTCGAAACGTCGGGAATTAAAATTAAAAATAAACGCGATAAATCCGTAAAATTAGTTTCATTTATAATGTGTAATCGCGTAAATACAAGAAATTATTAAGACAAAAGTAAATAAAAAATGGAATTGAAAATAGGAAAAGTGATAGAGGAAAAGTTCAATTTATAAATTATAGCAAGGTTTTATTTAAAGAAAACGGCACAAACACCCTAGCTTATTACTACCTAGTATATACTTCATATATCAATACCCTAGCTTAAACCAAATCAGTATAATAATTATATTCAGAACATTAGTATAGTACATTAAGATCAATGTCTTGGAGCCAACCATAAATATTGCACGATAAGATTTCTTGTCTTCTTAATGTCTGTAGCTTTATTTGATCTCATTCAATATGAAACAGCTCTTTAGGAGTTTGTACTATTATGAGTATTGATGTCTAAACTCCGCTTCGATAACCTCCATAATTTTGGCTTGAGTCCGAAGAATACGTCTCAAGGATATCATATTATGGTTAATTTGTTTCTCCTCAACTTCTAATGCTTCCAATAAAGAACAGCACGAGCCATGTTCAACACTTTCACAGTTCTTACTCAATTTAGGCACTTAAACCAACTTTTTTCACTTTTATACGCGTTTTTTGTTATATTTGAACGTTGAATTATACAGTATATATGGAGGATATAAACAAAAATCAAATCGCGCGCGGATTAATATAAAAAGGACAAAAATTACAATAACGAAAGAGATGCAATCGATGGAACAATTAATATAAAGTTTTGGCGCGCCTTCGCAATTTTATTTATTTTTTTTATTTATTTATTTATTTAATCTTTATTGCCAACCTTCAGTAAAACAAGGTAACAAAGGGCGGACTTAATGCCCAAAGGCATTCTCTACCAGTCAACCCAGGATGTGGTGAGAGTTTATGGTAGGTGCAGCAAAAGATGCAAGAATAATAAAATTTTAATTAAAGAGAATATATATGAAAATAATATTATAATTATATTAAGTTATATACATGCATATGTATATATACATATATATATATATATATATACATATTCAAATATTTAAATATATATATAAAGATGTATACTTGTATAAATAAATAACAATTAGCTTCTACTTTTAACTACAGTCCATATCTTAGGTCGAATTTGTCTTTAACAGGTGTTCACGAACCAATATTTTGAAAGATGTCTTACTTTTTGCGTTTCTTACGTTATCGGGCAAGGAGTTCCAAAGATGTATAGCTTGGATAGTAAAGGAGTTGACAGAGAACCCGCTAAAGTGCGCTGGAATGCATAATTTATTCGTGTAAGACGACCGAAGTACCCTATCATGAGATGAGGAGAGATATAAGAATTTGTTTTTGAGGTAAGAAGGGGAGGGAATTTTATGAGCAAGCAATTCGTAATTACTCATTACGTACGCTTTTGCATGTAACTGATTTTATTCACATATTATAACAAGTTCTGAACCGACCGGTTGTCGTGTCATTTTTATTTTAAACCTTTAAACGTTATTCCCGAACATTTGGTCCATTTTCGAGCTGGATTATTAAAGTATATAAGGAAGAATCATAAGTGCCGATATATATTCAAAGCATAAAGAGATTAAAAGAAATTAACGTTATAATTACTTGGCTAAAAGTTTAGAGGTCATTACGGACATACGGAGTGAGAACAAAGGACAAGCGTTTGTTGAGTAATATAATTAAATATCTTCGCCCAACACTCAGGTTATATTTTTTAATGTAATTAAGTGAATTATAAGGTGAGTTTACTATTTATTTCTGTATCAAGTTAAATAAAACGCATTCTGTTAAATAATTTACATGAGGGTGTTTTAACTTGATATAGGTAATTTGTCGAGTATGAGGTATTTATGACAGGATATTTAGTGTATTTATTTCAACTTTAGTTAATTACTGCGTTGTTGTACTTTAAGATCATTATGTTGTTATATTAAGAATTTGTTATTTATTATAAACGTTAAATTTGTTAAATAATTATTGTTCCTATTGTTTTGTGCTTAAGTTAATGCAGCTAGATAGACTTTGATTTGATGTAGTTATAAAATATTGTAGTAACCAATATTATGCGATGATTTATTTCACGGAGTTATAATTACTTAGGTATTAGTAGGCTTGCTTGGTTTAATTTATTGTGTAAATTAAATCTTGTTCGTCACCGATTATAATAATTATATAGATTTCCATTAATCAATATTAATGGAAATTAACTGTACACTGTGTTACAATTAACTGTATAAATTTCAGGTTGACTCTTAGCTCTTGGAACTTCCAGTTGAGGATGGCGTCACTCTAGTAGCGTACGCCGACGATGTCACGGTACTTATAGAGGCGGATTCTAGAGCTGACCTGGAAAGGAAGGCATCTGGTACCCTGGTGAGTATCTCGAACTGGGGATTTAGGAACCGACTAAGCTTTGCCTCGCAAAAGTCTAAGTCTCTGACCCTGAAGGGTAGGTTCCAGAGGGCTCCAACAATAAAGATGGCTGACTCTTCAGTGAGTACGGTATCCTCGACTACCATCCTTGGTGTCCGCATCGATTCAGCTCTCTCATTTAATGAACATGCCAAACATATTAGTGATAGGGCAGCTAAATGTTTTGGTAAAATGTCACGTGTTTCGACTTCGTCTTGGGGTATAAGATATCCAGCATTGCGGATCCTGTACACTGGAACGTTTGTCTCCGTTATCACTTACGCGGCGGCGTGCTGGTGGGAGCGTACAAGATTGTATGTGGTTTGCTCTACCTTGCTTCGGGCACAACGTGGGTCGTTGGTTCTCCTGATGAAGGCCTACCGATCGGTTAGTACCCCTCGCGGGGGTACTACCGGCCGATCTCGAAGTGATCCGGGCTGGGCGGAGCGAGGTCAAATGTCGCAATTTACCGAAGCCAGAGTCGAGCCGACGTAAAAAGGCTATTGGCTCGGAGATGGTGGATGAATGGTATGTAAGATGGAAGTCTGAACTGCGTGGAAGGGAGCTCCGTAAGTTCTTCCCGGAGGTGAAGGATAGGCTCAGGTCATCCTGGGTCCATCCCGACTACCCGACGTCGCAGATCCTCACCGGTCATGGATCCTTCAGGTATCGGTTGCACGAGATGCGGTTGTGCGTGGAAGATATGTGTAGTTGTGGATTTGGCGTGGAGGACAGGCACCATGTGCTGTGGCTGTGCCCGTTATATGAGGACATCAGAATGGATCTATTAAACGGTGTGATCCGCTCGGGGACGGGTCCGGTGTACTACTGCGACCTCGTCTCCTCGGCTTCTAACTTTGCTGCGCTGAGAAGGTTTGCGCACGCATGGCACCGGAGGAGGTCATCTGAAGACCACATGGAGCCCGGCAACGAGTCACGTGTTACTGTGTCGTCAAGCCCCCTAGGGGGGAGAGTTGACATTTAGGGACAAGGACGAGAATAAAGAACTTGTAGGGAGTCAAGCAGGTGCGCGCGGAGCCTCGCGGCCAGACTGTGCGCACTCTCCCACGATTCGTCCCATATAACCGCGAGGTTGGTGGGGCCATGGGAGGTGGTGTCCATAATGACTCGTTCGCCGGACGCCGACGTGGACGGACGTGCGCGTGTGATAGCTTCGCAATTAACTTGTGGAAAATTTTCGCTTACTTTATTTGTTTATTGTGTAGTTCAATTTTATAACTGTTTAATTATTTCTAAGCTTTTAACTCGGGAATAGTGACGTTTTGTATAACATTCTGTGGTGTGTAGTGTATGTGGGACAGGAATTAGACTATAGTTTTCAGTGTTATAGTGTATATAGGATAGGACCTGAATTTGGACGTGCCTGGACTCCCGGACATCAGGGAGTACCCCCTTGTTTATTCTCTTCATAAACAATACGTGAACGTTTTAAACTGGACTTAGATTTAGTGTAATTGTATAAAAATAAATTAGGTAAGGCACGCGTGAGCACGTGGCGTAAAGTGCCGGTTAGGTTAGGCACGTGCGTGCACGTGGTGACTACTGCAGGTAGACGGGAAACTTTTACGTGGTGGGTACTCACAAATAACTAATTATCGAAGTACCCTCCTTCAGAATTTAGTGCGGGTAGGTGTAAAAACCTGATTGACAGCTGTCAAGTGGGAATCCAAAATGGATCCCGAGGAGGAAGCGGAACGAACGGCTTTTGCGCCGCGTAAGTCGCTGGCGCGAACGCCTCCGCATGGACTGGAGGAATTATCGCGGCCGCGATCAATTTCCACCGGGGGAGAGAAACGTATGCTGACCTCTCCAGAGGAGACAGGGTCAGCCTCACAGCGGCCAAGGGTGGAGGTCAGAAGGTGCCGACCAACGAATCCTGCCCCTCTGCCCCCCACGGGTGGAACAATGCCCCCTATTGCGGGGATATTGACCACGGATTACCCTACGGAAAAATCGGACCCTAGCCGGTCCAAGAGCAGCAAGTTGGAGCTCCTGGACCGGGCCCAAAACGGTTTGCAGTATATCATGGGAGTCGTTACGGGACCAAACTCCAAATTGAACAAGGGGGACATCAACTCCGTGGGAGTACATGTCCACGATGTGCTGACGGTGGTGGCCGCACTGAACCTGAGGTTGAGTGAGGTGGAGCTCGATCTTGCTGAGGCCCGGCTCAAGGTGGCAAGGGCGGAGAATGTGGCTCTCCAAACAGTGGCAAAGGAACCAGAGCACGTCCAGGGCTCCTATGCAGCGGCCTTGAAAATATCCACAGGTGGAGCACCAGTGGCTCTTCCGACGAGAGCTGGACCAGTCCTGGCCTTCTATCCCACTGAAGCTCAGGCCCACACCCTGAGGACTGCAGACGACACAAAGGCTGAACTTAAAAAGGCTATAAGACCGGAAAAGATGGAAATCCAAATCGAGAAAGTGAGGAAGGTGGGTAACGCGGGGGTGGTGGTCCAAACCACATCTGTGGAATCAGCTGCCAGGTTGAAGAGTGCAGTGCCCCCTACGCTGCGCGTGTCGGAGCCTAAGAAAAGAACTCCTCAAGTAGCGCTCCGTATTCTGGACGAAGAAATAGATAAAGGGGATATCCTTAAGGCCCTTGCGGAGCAAAACTTCAAGAACTCGGTGTGGACGGCGGAACGCTTGCAGAAATCCTGTCAAGTCTATAAGAGGAAGGGGATCAGGGGTACCACAACGGCAATTCTTGAGTGCTCCGCCGAACTAAGGCAGGCGCTAATGGACAAAGAGTGCGTGTACATAGGTTGGCAAGTGGTGGAAGTCTGTGACCATATCGGGGTGACCTGCTGCAACAAGTGTCAGATATACGGGCACCCCGAGAAATACTGTAGAGCAACGGCGACAACGTGCGGGAAATGTGGGGAAAATGGCCACAAGAAGGCGGACTGCAAAGCCAGTTCATCTTGCTGCGCCACCTGTAAGCGCTTTGGACAGCCGCCGAAGGGGCACACAACGGCATCTAGAGACTGCCCTGCGAGACGCCACGCCGAAAAAAGGGCCATAGTTATCTCAGAACCCGTCAGGTTTCGAGAGAGTGGGGTGTGCTGGGCCGGTTTCCGGGCGGTCATCAGCTCACGTATGGGATGCCTAAATGCACACAAGCCTCCGTCTCAACTCGCGGACGAATTTACGAGGATTATAGTGCGAACGGCCTATGACTGTCTGGGTACAAGGAAACCGAGGAAGGATGGAGGTTACGAGTGGTGGAATGACAGATTAGAGGCAGCACGAAAGAAGACTTTCGGACTGAGGACCATATGGCAAAGGAGCAAAAGGCTTGGTGGACAGCGAGAGGTATTGGCTGGCGACGCATTCCGTGCAGCCCGTCGTTACTATAGGAAGCTGATGGAGGGGGCGCAGAGCAGCCACTTCCGACGCGTGGCGGCCTCCGTCGTTGTGGTCTGTAGTCCATCGGCCCTCCGCTAGGTGGCGCTAGTGGGTCGTGCTTCGACGGCGCCGCAGTGCATGCCACTCCCGCTGGATGGCGTTGGTGCGTTTGCAGGTGTCGCCCCGTGTTTGGCATTGTGTCAGGCTGGTGTTTAGCCCTTTGACCGTCAGGTGGCGCTAGCGCGGAACCGACTGGCATTTTTATTTCTCTCAGGGACCAAACAGGGAGTGAAATCGGCCAAGGCCGAGAACCTGACGTTACGGGGGCACTACACCACGTCCAGACCATTGGAGCCAACTACATACGCCTCTGCGCTAAAAATTGCAGGCAGGGCCGGCCCTACCCCCATCACCCAAGATGGTCCGGTGGTTGCTTTCTACTCGGTGGATGAGCAGGTTGACAAACCGAAAACGGCGGAGGACACCAAGGCCGAATTAAAAAATAAGGTCAGGCCAGAGATCATTAAAGTACAAGTGGAGAGGATCAGGAAGGTTGGCAATGCCGGAGTTGTGGTCCAGACCACCAGCATTGAGGCCGCAGAAAAGCTGAGGAGCGCGGCACCACCTAAGCTACAGGCCGCGGTTTCCAAAGCAAGGCCCCCCCAGGTTGCACTAAGGAACTTGGACGGAGACCCGGAGTCTCCGACCGAAATTATCGCGGCAATGTACGAGCAAAATTTCAAAGGAACCTCGTGGTCACCGGAGAAAATGGGCCGGATAAAATAATATAAAAAGATTGCAAAGTATACAAACGACGCGGGTACAGGGGAACCACCACCGCAATCCTGGAATGCGCCCCGGCTCTACGGCAGACGCTGCTGCAAAAAGGGCGCATATATGTTGGGTGGCAGGCAATAGAAGCATGCGACCACATCACAGCGACGTGTTGTAACAAGTGCCAACAATTTGGCCACCCGGAAAAATACTGCCAACAATTTGGATGTGATATTTGTCAAAGGATGTGGTGTGCGGGAAGTGTGGAGCGACCGGGCACCGGAACCCGGAATGCCCTTCAAGCCAATTCCGCTGTGCTACCTGCCACCGCTTCGGCAAGCCATCGGACTCGCATAATACCACGTCACGCGACTGTCCCGCCAGGGTGTATGCGGAGAAGAGGGCCATCTCAATGACCAACTATGGTGCCTAATCGCCAGCTGCGAATTGGCCAACTCAACCTGGGAGGTTCAGAGGTGGCTACTCTGGAGCTACCGCATATTGCCCGCGAACTGAACCTGGACTTAGTGATGATCCAGGAACAGTACCCTCCGGCAGCTGCTGAGCTTCATGTGATACAGACGGGCGAGAAACCCAAGGCTGCCATCTACGTGCATAACAGGCTTGCTGGTGTAGCGGTTGCCCACGAACTGTCCAACAGGTACTGTGTTGTGGCGTCGGTTCGGAAGATCTGACGGACACTATTGTAAGAACGGCCCATGAGGGCTTGGGTGTCAGGAAGCCAAAGAGGGACGCTGGTTACGAATGGTGGAATAGCAAGCTTGAGACGGCACGGAAGCGTACCTTTAAACTTAGGACTGTATGGCAGAAGTCTAAAAGGTCGGGCGGACTGAAAGAAATTATGGCAGGGGACGCGTATCGTGCGGCGCGCCGCGAATACCGCAATTTGATGGGCGTGGAGCAGAGCAACCACTTTAGACAGGTAGCTGAAAGCGGCAACACTGACCTCTGGGGTCAGGCTTACAGGGTTGCTAGCGGCAGAATACATCCCCCTGCCAATATCATTAATGCCACCAAATACATAGAGAGACGCGTAGCCCGGCCCCTCCGACATCTGCCGGAGGATTACCGCCCCTGTTGCGGGGATTCTTACCACGGATAAGCAAATAGAGAAGTCGGATCCTTGTTTGCCCAATTGCAACAAACTGGAACTCCTGGATCGGGCTCGAAGCGGCTTGCAGTCCATAATGGGTGTCGTCACGGGACCAAAGGCGACATTAACTCAGTGGGCGCACACGTCCATGATGTGCTAGCTGTGGTGGCAGCGCTGAATATAAGGTTATACGAGGTCGAGCTTGATCTTGCCGAGGCCAGGCTCAAGGCGGCTAAAGCTAAGAATACAGCCCCAAAGCATGTGGTGTCTGCGAGCAGCGAAGCCAAGGAGGATACAACATCGAACTTCTATGCGGCGGCACATAAATTACCAATTAACTAAAATTACCATCTTAAATTACCACTTAAATTCCACCTCTCATGCGATCTGGCCCAGTGTGGCCCAGTGTGGATCTGGCTTTTATCGAACAGAAGAGCAAGCGCATCAAATTAAAACCGCCGAGGAAACGAAAGCGGTACTAAAGAAGGCTATTAGGCCCGAGACACTGAATGTATGTGGCCGAGACGCTGTATAATCGGCGCGGATGTCAATGCGCACTCCCCCATGTGGCACAGTCACCCCCAACATTATACGGGGAGGGGTGCGACAGTTACCGAGCGCAAGTCTAAGGTGGAGGATTTCGTTACCGGAAGAAACATGCACATCGGCAATGTCGCATGTCTTGGCGGCTCTGCATGAGCAGAACTTTAAAGGAAGCAGCTGGACGGTGGCGCGCATCCAGGCAGAATGCAGTCTTTCGGAGGAGAGGCTTCAGAAGAACCATTACCGCGGTCCTAGAATGCTCGGACACATTCAGGCAGGCGATACTGGAGAAGGGTCGGGTGTACATTGGGTGGCAGGTGGTCGAGGTGTGTGATTTCATCTCGGTCACCTGTTGCAACAAGTGCCAAATTTTTGGGCACCCGGAAAAATACTGCAAATCCACGGATACCATTTGCGGAAAGTGCAGAGGGACTGGACATCGTAAGGACGAGTGCAAGGAGGCCATTTCCTGCTGTGCAACCTGCAAGCGGTTCGGCAAACCTGCCGTTGGGCACGTGACAGCCTCACGTGACTGCCCTGCCCGACTGCACGCGGAGAAGCGTACTATGGCTGCTACTAACTATCACATTCAATAACCTCATCAAAGTAGGTCAGGTGAATCTTGGCGGATCAGAGGTTGCGACCAAGGAACTCCCGTCCTTGGTTCGGGAGATGTCGCTGGACCCGGTTGCCATCCAGGAGCAGTACCGGTACGCGCCTGAGCTGTGAAAGAATGCCCCGCTATGTGGGAACGTTTTCTTGCCTATGAGGCCGAGCATAGGCAAGTAGTTGAACTCGTGTCGCCGCCATCGCCCGCGCCCTCTGCGCCCGTTACCCCGTCGCCTTCCGCGACCTTAGAAGCCCCCGTCGCATCGGCACCCGTTGCCACGAACTCACCCGTCGCGCCTTCCGCGCAACCAAACCCGACCTCTTTTCGCTCCGTCGTACCCGACTCACAATCGGACGGCGGATCGGACATGGAAGTCGAAACGACCCCCGCTGAAAACGCGAACGCCGACGGCTTCACCGTCGTTAAATCGCGTAAAAAGGGCAAGAAACGCCCCGCTACCGACAGCGACCCCGAATGCGAGGCCGCCTCAACGACCCGTCCCACCGCGACGCCCGCTAAAAAGGCGGCCGTGGCGATTAAACCGATGCCCGAATTCGCCTCCGAGCGAAAAATAAAGCCTCCTCCACCCATCATCATTCAGGAGAAGGCTAAGTGGCACCAAATTTGTTCGTGGTTTGAACGCCACAATATCCGCGACCCTCGGTCGAAAAACACGCATATGGGTATCCGTGTATACCTTGACACTACGGATGACTTCCGCCGCGTAACGAAGTATTTGCGCGAAAACAAGATAGGTTTCCACACCTACTCGTTGCCCGAAGAAAGAAAACTTCGGGTAGTAATCAAGGGCATCCCCAAAGAGTCGGATGTCGACAAGGCGAAGACACCCCAGAACCCGTGTCCCTATGAACATGGTGATGGTTGAACTTGACCCTACCCCGGAAGGTAAGGCCATCTTCAACCTGAAGAGGGTCTGTGGGCTCAGCGACCTCGTGATTGAGCCCCCGCGTAGGTCAGGAGTTGTGGCGCAGTGCCACAACTGCCAGCATTATGGCCACACGGCTAATAATTGCTTCGCTCACCCTAGGTGCGTCAAATGCACCGGTGACCACGGCACGACCGACTGTACGCGGCCGAAAGATTGCGCAAATCCACCGGACTGCGTCAATTGTCATACCACCGGCCACCCGGCTAGCTAGAGGGCTGCGCTAAGGCCCCTAAAACTCCCGCGAGAAAAGCTCCCGCGAAATCAACGTTACCTAAATCCGCGCCCGCGAAATTCATTCCCGCACCTGCACCCGTCGTAAACGCCTGGGCGAAACCCCAGGTAGTCGCGCAGGTAGTTGCGCCACAGGTCGCCTCACGACCAACGTTAGCCCAATCGCAGCCCGCCGTTCAACAGGCGCCGAAGCCACAGGTGCAGTCAACACCACCGGTATTCACCGGAAACAATGACGACCCGTTCGACCAAATTGCAAACATCTGCGGCTTATTAGACCGCATAAATAGACAAGAGCTCGCCGTATTGTCCAATAAATTATGGGCCGCCACATCTGGCCTCGAACGTCTCATAGCTATTCGCGACCATAAAACACTTGTAGACGCCTTATGGGTGTTTACAAGCCAGCCGTAAACTTTATAGTCCGCGCAATAAAACCGCGCTCCGCCGCGTCGTTAATTAGAAACTATAAAAAACTTTTATGGAAAGTACAACCGCAGGTTGATCAAAACCTCGGGCTCTGGTTGTTTCGTATTTCAACGCAAATGGCATTAAGGGTCAAAGGGACGAAATCTCGGAATTCCTCCGCGATTATAATGTAGATATTTTTCTAGTGCAAGAGACATTCTTAAAACCTAGCGTACGCGATCCCAGAATCGCAAACTACAACATAGTCCGCCACGATCGGTTAGCAAACCGTCTGGGAGGCACTCTAATTTATTATAAACGGTCCTTGCACTGCAGCCCGCTCGACATTCCAGAGCTAAGTCATATAGAGGCATCTGCGTGTAGGTTAGCGCTCACCGGCCATAGGCCGCTTGTACTAGTCTCAGCCTACCTCTCGGGGAGCAAAACCTTATTACAAAGCGACCTAGTTACGCTTCTCAACTTAGGCCCTTCCGTGATAATTGCAGATCTAAACTGCAAACACGGTTCATGGGACATCCACAGCATCCCAAATAACAACGGAAAGCATCTCTTTAGCTTATCCGATAATTTAAACTTTAGCATAATCGCTCCTGCGACTCCCACTAGGTATTCTACGGTGGACAACTACCAACACGCGACACCGAGTATCCTAGATATCATGTTATTAAAGGAGGTCTCGCTCGACATCGAGTCGATAGAGACAATCCATGAACTAGATTCAGATCACAGGCCCTTCCTGTGCAAACTGGGCCAGAACGCCGGCGCGGTCCCTCCGACCAAATCCGTAGTGGACTGGCATCGTCTTGAAGTCAAACTCAAGGCCTTGGCCCCCAGGACTTAGTCGACCTACCCGAGACGATAGCTACGTTCGATGAGCGATAGCAAGTCTCCGAAAAACCATCACTTCCGCCGTCGCAGACTCGGAACGGACGGTGAAACTGTCGAGCGACCGACGGTTTAACTTTCCGCCCGACCTGCGACTGCTAATTAGGCAGAAAAATGCAGCCAAACGCGCATTCGACCGAAACCGATCGGAATCGAACCGAACCCTACTTCGACGCCTTCAGCTAGAAGTCAAAGATCGTGTATCGGAACACCGACATACAACGTGGGACACTCTCCTAGAGGACATCGAGCCATCGCACACCGCCTACTGCCGGTTGGCCCGCAGTCTGAAAGCAGACCCCCGCGAATCTCTACCGCCGTTAGTTAGACCTAATAGCGCTTCAGTAGCCCTAGATGACTCCGAAAAAGCCGAATGCCTTGCGGACAACCTAGAGCAGCAATGTACGCCATCGCGCGAACACACCGATACAGTCCACCTAACGGAGGTGGTCCGCGTAATCGAAACTAGGGCTGCGTTTCCACCAGAAGGCGATCCTTTGAATTCAGTGACCCCCGAAGAGGTCCAAGACATTATCAAAAATTTAAAACCCAAATCCGCCCCGGGCCCAGACTATATTAGTAATAAAATTCTTAAAGATCTCCCTGGACCGCTTATCTGTTTACTGGCGACCATTTACAATACCTTACTCTCCAGCTGCTCCTTTCCGGACGACTGGAAAGAAGCCACGGTTATCGGCATTCGCAAACCGAATAAACCAGCCAATCAGCCCTCAAGTTATCGTCCCATCAGCCTCCTCAGTTGCCTGGGGATGCTCTACGAGCCGCTATTATTAAATAGGCTCAAAGAGCACGTATTTTCCAACGGCCTTCTGCCGGCGGTACAATTCGGCTTTCGAGCTAGACATTCCTGTCCCGACCAATTATACCGCCTAACGGAACACATCCTGAAAGGCTTAAATCATCCGAAACATATTAGCACGGGGGCTATTTTCTTCGATGTCGCAAAGGCATTCGACAAGGTCTGGCACAACGGCTTGCTTTACAAGCTGCACACACTCAAAGTGCCAGATAGGCTCGTACACACCATCCGGGCCTTCCTGTCGAACCGCTCTTTTCGATATCGAGTTGAAGGCACCCTCTCCACAAGCCGCCGCCTCACGGCCGGCGTACCACAAGGCTCCTGCCTCTCACCTTTGCTCTTCACGCTCTACACGAGCGATATACCTAAAGACCCCCACGTCAATCTCGCGCTTTTCGCGGATGACACGGCGCTGTTTTATTCTGACCGCAACCTTAGACAACTAACCACTCGACTCCAAAGCGCCGCCGACTGCCTCGGCGATTGGTTCCGAAAATGGAGAATAGAAATAAATCCCGAAAAGAGTGTGGCGATTCACT